AGAGGCTAACCTTCCCAGTTTGCACCTTCTCTGTATGGCTCCTCTGGTTCTGCAGACCCCTGCCTACTCAATGTAGCCCTGCTGCCAACAGGCTGCCTTCTGTCAGTCCTCTCCATTGACTCCTTGCGGGGTCAGGGGACCAGGGGTTGAAATCCCTGACCTAGGAGAATTGTCTTCTGTTTTCACAAAATGACTGTGCTGTTTGAAAGGCTCTCTTATCTCCTGTGTTGACAAAAAGAAGTCACAAAATCCTGTGTCTTAATCTGCAAGAGTAGCTCAGCGTAGCCTCTATGGACAGATACCTGTGTGAGCGCAGGGATGTGATAATACAAAACTGTGCAATATATTTACCAAAAGGGTTTCTAAATTATATAGGAAATGAAAAGCTGGCATTCAATTAAAATGAGATTTATATTGTCACTCTCCTTTTTCCAGTGTTCTGATTTCAAACAAAAAAAACCCAGCAGCCTGAATGCAATGCTTATGTGTCTGTGGAGCTCAGGTCCTGGTTTTGAAAGTAAGGCAGGTCATGCCTGGCCTATCCACTCTGGGCTCAAGCGTCTCTGCTTCTTTTCTCCGATGCTTTACTGAAGCTTATTCAGGAACACGGGTGTAAAGCCAGGTAGTTTGGGTGTGGTACAAGTTAGGACTTGTACTGAGATGCAACTCATACCTATCCAAAGATATGGTACAGAGCTAGCCTAAGAATCCATGTAACTTAAAAAAATGGGCATTAAGTTCCTCCTAAAATTTTTAGATACTTGAAAATTTTATCCCAGTTCTTTTTAGTATCAAAGAAAGCCCACATTTTCACCATTATGGAGACAATTAAAGAAGAGCAGATGGTGAAAAGCCTATTGCTTTTACTGTAACCATATAACACTATTCTTAAAATCATTGCACATAGAGGCCTTGATTGGGTGCCATGTGATGGGTGGCCCCTCCTCTGCTCAGTCCTCAGTCATCTCCTATGAAACAAGTAGTAGACAAATGCTCTGGAAGAAGGTAAGGCAGGTGAAATAATCTACATAGTTAAGGAATTGAAACCGCCCACCTCCCTGTTCTAATGCTGACTGTAGTTCTGTAATGCTGATTGTGGTTCTGTAGTGCTGAAGTGAAACTGTTTTTTAAGCAGAATTTAGTTTCTATATGGAATAAAAATAAGAAAAACTAGAAAAATTGCCATGGAGCCGGTCAGTAATCTCTAATAGTGTAAAGTAATTTTTTAAAAGCCAGGAAATTCCCATGTTAAGATCACATAAAGTGTTTACAGGCTGCAACATATGATAAAAGTAAAGATAATACAGCGTTTTCATGATTCTAACTGTTTCGAGATTCGAAATGCACTGAGTTATACTCACTGGTGTATAAGTTAGGATAAGCCAAAATGCTCAGGTGACAGAAAGATGTTGCTAAAGAAAGAAAGAATGACATACCAAACTTGCGACAAGTGAAGTGGTTGTGTTTGCTCTAGTAGTAAGGCATCAGTCAAGAAAAAAGGCTGAAGACCAAGAATAAAGTGGCAGGGAAAATGGAATCCAACAGCACTGGCAATGAACAGCACACTGTTTGAACACTGAGGGTGAGATCCCACCCTTAGTGAAGTTAGTGGAAAGCAGCTGCATGAGCCCGGGTTTTTATTCCGGGCTAAGGAAATGTTAGTATCCAATATTCCAGGTAAGTTTGTGCGGTGGAGGTAGGCAGAAAGAAGATGCTACCCTGAAATCAGTGCCCTGAAATGTACATGCTAGGAATTATGCTATATATTATTTTCTTTTAAAATTATACTTGGGAGTATTTTTAGATGAGGATCTGCTCATAGGCACTGACCAGACTAAGAAGAAAAGATGTCCTGAAATGAAAATGCAGTTACCCCTCCTGAAAAATCTGCAGGCAGTATTCAAGGACTTTACGAGATAGTAGTATTGATCTCAGTAAACCAGCAATCTTACCTAACTTTCATCCTTGTTAGTAAGGCTCTTAAAGAGGACTCTGAAGGAATATAATGCAGCAGCTTTGTTAGTCTTTAAGGCTGGCTCCCAAACATGGGAACAGTGCAGGAGAAAGCATAATAGTGTGTGTTTGAAAACGTAATAACCCAGTGATGAAGAAGGCATCGTCTGGCCATTTATAACTAAAACTACGTTTAAAACAATCGATAAGGTAAATCAGCAAAGTTACAAAGAAAGTCAATGAGAAATACTGGCAATAACAAATTACTTATATACAATATTCAACAGATTTATTTAAATAGGTAAATATTTTATTTAATAAGAAAAAGTTTAATTCAGAAAAAAGAGACAGCTGATGGGTCAATAAGATCATTAATTTCTTGAAGGAAAAATCTAAGAAATTGCTATTCAAGTGTTTCTCACAACATAAGAACTTAGAAAATTACTTTGAAGCACATAAAAATCTCAAAAGGGAAATGCAGTCTAAATGATCCACAAGTAAATTGCAGAATGTACTGCCACAGAATGACTTGGCTCCCAAAATACAAATGAAGTCCAAAAGTAGTTAGATAAATTCATGGTAAAATGATCCACCCTAACCAATCTGCACACCATGATGGAGATGCAGCCTCCCACTCAGACAGTCCCTAAAACTGTGCTTAGTCAGAAGCTGGGAGGATGTATGAAGAGAAGGCATCACTTGCCTACTTGCCCCGATTCTTTTCCTAATTAGCAGTTGGCTAAAATCACAGACATAATAATAGCGGCTAATTGTCTTTTGATACCATCTGTCGTGTTCTGTTAGGTCTGACCCAACAGAGTAGTTTTGGGTTAAGTTGTATCTTTTTTTCCCGAAGGTCTACGTGGAGTATAGTGCAGTTAGGGAAATGCATGGCTGTGAAGGATCTTTGAGCAGTTTATGTTGGCACACCTTTCATGTAAAAGACGTTGAGGTAGTATGGCTTCAAAAATGTGTAGTGAGGACGTAAAGCTCTGAAAACGTTTTACGTCTGGATCTGTGTAAAACTTGGTCTTGCTAGACCGGCTTAACGGGTGCGTTGCTCTGGGTGGTGCATGCATCCAGTACAATAAATTCTAATAAAACATGAACAGTCCCATAAAATTATATTGATCCAGTGCTTTACCATATGATGTCCTCACTGGAGAGTGAGGAGTGTTCCCATTCGCAGGTACAAGGACTTACGATGAAAGTTCTTAGTCCACTGGAATGAAACAGTACTGGAAATGTATTCAGTGGGCTTTATACTGCAGCACACTGGGGTTTGTAAGTCAAAGGAATATTGTGTAAATTATAAAATCAATACGAGGAGTGCTTTTCACATGCTGCTTAGTCTGATGCGTCCCTTCCGACAGTAATGTAAACACCTGTCAGTGCTGCTGTACTTACTGTTGCCAAGTTGTACGTGACGTACAAAGGTAGAAGGAGCTTTATTCTTCCAAAACAAAGGAAAATTAAACTCTCTTCCCCTTCCCTTTCCCCATCCTTTCTTCTTCCTCAGAAGGATTGAGAATTCCACATCTTTGATGTCTGCCTTTTTGGTGTTTTAAAAAAAATGTCAAAATGAAAACAGTTGAAGATGCAGAAGATAAAACAGCGTTAAATCTGTGTAAGGGTACCCCCCAACTGGCTTTCTGTTGACAGCCCTGGATGTTAAAAGTGGTTTAGGTGTGGCAGCAAGATCCCTGTGGCTGCGGAGTTGCCGCTGTGGACTTTACAATGGCTACTTTGTGCATCTGAGCTTTGAAAATGGCAAACTGGAAATGGTGGTTTTAGTTGAGATCCCGTCATGAAAAATCAATGGCCTGGTTAATCCAGTATTCTGTCATTTCTGTCCACATCAACTGACTTCCACTGGCACCTTTTAGAAACAAAAATGTTTTCATTTGCAAATTGTCAATGTATTTTGGGACTGAAAAAATTATTACTACTGCACAACACTGTTCCTCTGCAACAGACTGCCCACACGGAAAACCATTCTGGTCTTCCCTATTGCTGAATATCTTTATGTGCATAATCATTGTTGGACAACTTGCCAAGCAGAAACTATTAGTTAGTTAAAATGTTCATTTTAGCTTTGCAGTATTGCTTCCTCTGTTGTTCTTTTGTTAAACACCAATTATTATAAGGATCATGATTATGAAATAAGTCCCATTTTAAAGTTTCAGAATGAAACGCTAACTTACAATCCTTAAAATATTTATTTCAATTTTAAAAATACTTTTTCTTGATGTGTACTATTTAACTCAAATACTGGTATGTATCTGCAATGGAGATATAACTAAACAGGAATACTGTTTGTGATAAGAATTTACAGTAGGAGACACTGCTGAAATAGAAAATGTTTCGTATCTCTCCAGACTGTGAAAATGTCACTAGTGGCAAGCATGTTCATTTTAGCTGCTAGAACTGAATTTTTCAAGAACGACATTTATGAAGTATATAGTATAAACTTAGGGATACATAGTTGATATTTGACTCTGAATTTTTAAGTAATATAGTGAAAGTTTTATAACTGTAATTGTTAATCTTTAATTTCTGAATTATCTGTTCTACAAAGTGTTTTAATTGGAGTTCATTTGATCCAAAACAATGCATGGGCATTTTTTCTTGGAGTTTTAAAATGACTGTGTTTTAAGAAGTACACTTGCTTGCCGAACTCAATAGAGGTATATTTTAGGAAATTCTCATTGTAAATCTTTGTCTAATGCATATTTTTCTCCACCAAATAGTTGCAACAGTAAAAATAATTGTGTTTGCCATCTAGCTGAGGTGATGCTGTTACTGATGTGGATTTTGCGTTCTCCTTAATGGTCTGGAGTTTACAGCTCTGCTGCGTGCTGAAGTGCTTGGGTATCTGCTGAAGACTAAATTATAGCCTGGCTGAATGATAAAACTTAAGCAGAGCAACAGCGATCCTTTTCTGGTTTATTGCTTGGATTAAATAAGTGATTTAATCAATTTACTGTGTAATGTATATTAATATCCTTGTTTCATGAATATTGACACAAATCTTTTTAAACTTGCAGCAAGTAGTGGCAGCAATAAATGCAGGAATCATACCTTTAGGAAACACATCTACTCAGATCAGTCACTGGGACTTGGGAAGTTCCTTCTTCTTTGCTGGAACTGTTATTACCACCATAGGTAGGCCACAGCTTCTTATCTTTTCATAGTAAATGAGCTGAAACTCTTTTAGCGTGTACATGTATTTGTTAATGGTAAATCTTCCAAATCTTCTGGTTTAAAGTAGAGAGTTACTTTTTAGCTGCAGGGGCAGAAATTATAGCTGTTTGTACGGAGCCCTAACCGAGTAAATGATTCTTCTGGAGAAGAAAAATGTCACTGTATATTTCTGCGAGGTGACTAGAAGAGGTTGTGGAAACATTTTCGGGGGGGAATTTGGTCAAGTGTGTAATCACAAGTGTTAAATAGGGCATGATTTAAAGCACATGTGCATTAAACCTTGACTGAGATGTATGGAATTTCAAGTCTGTATAATCCCATTCTATGTTGTCGTTTTCTCTAAATTCTGAAAAAGATGAGAACTTGGTAAAGATTCAGTTCAGCTTAATTTAATCAGTTGTGAGTGTTGTGTTGATAGGCAGATTTACATCCAGAGGCTTGCTTTGAGGCTTCTGGTGCATTCAGGGAAGTCCAAAGCTATAAGGTGATTTATCCATGCTCACAAGCCCAGGGAGTTTTCTGGATCCTTTCTTCATTTGGGAGCCACAGTCCCTCTGAGCAGGTGTGAACAGGAGCAGCATTTGATCTTTCAGTTTCTTCCCTTTGGCTGCAATACAGTGCACATGGTACAACAGTTCAAAGATGCAGCGTAGCTCACAGATCATATAAGGGGCATCCACAAAGGTGGCTGGAAAGTTGAAGAAGAAGTTTAAGACCTACATTATAAGAGTAATGTATAAGGACTTGTAGCATTGTTACAATACTAGTGTCTACGTAATATCTACCTATATGCATATTGTGATGGAAGGGGATGTTCTTTTCAAGTGTTGTGCTTTCTTTATGTAGAAGTGCATGAGTACTATATTTTTTGTATGTTTGAGTATATACATGTCTATATATATGTAGAAATATGTCCATGTGTAACATTTTTTCACATCTAGAATAACTGAAACACAGGTTTAGTGAAAAGAGAGTGAAACTTTTACCTCCCTGAGGTTAGTAATAAACTTAATGATTTTATAGTAGTAGGTCCACAAGGTAATAAAAAAACAAGAATTGAAAAAAGTAATTTTAACAGATTATAACCAAGAAAAGCAAGAACCTTGAAAAGACAGCTTTACGATCAGTCTTATGTTACCCTCTTCTGACAGCACAAAACTTGGTAGGTTGTAGGTAAGTATCCATGGCCCTGTAGAAAGTGTTTAGTATTTGCTTCCGTTCCAAATAAGGATAAAAGTTAATGTATGAAAAGTGTTTAAGGAATTAAATAATTCAAAAATTATTTTACAGCAGTGGAACATTTTTTTTTCACTATTTTGTTTCTAAGTGAAATGAAGGCTTTGCTAAATAAAAATGTTTCCTGATTTAATTTATTGACCTGATTCAGCTGAAACATGCGTGAGTCCTGCTTAGAGGAGAGAGAGGGATCTGCAAAGGCATCCAGGCCACAGATCTGCGGTCCCCAGGAGGCAAGATAACCCAATAGGAAATACATTCGAAAATTAATATTTCAGGTCATTTTTGCAAACCAGAATCGTTAGAATCAGGTCAGACTAGGCAACTGTAAATATTTATTTCAGGTTTTGTGATAGAAAACTAAGAAAATCTTCCGTAAAATCTCTTGGCTTTGGAGTAACAGTGTTTTTCATCAGAGACCCTTTCTGATGGGAAGCTCCCAGTCAGTTGCAGTTTTGAGCTTTGTTTCTTACGACCTGAAGACAGCATGCTTAGGTAGAAGCCATAATGTGGTTGGCATTGCCTTACTGCTGCAAACCATCTTACCGATGGATCACAGGGCTTGCAGCGTGACAGCACGCAGAGCTGTCATGAAAAGCCCTTGGAATTGTGACTTTCCTGGGAAAATGTTGACAAGTGTAAAAGTTGGGTGTGCTTTCCCTTATTTTTTATATTATTACGTGCCATCAAGTGATTTTGTGTTCAGAGAAGTCTCTCTTCATATATGAGTAACCTTTTGAAAATGAAGGCATTCCTTCCAATTAGAGGGCATATGGTTATCATGTAACTTGATATTTTAATTTCTCAAGAGACTCTAAATGTGGTTTATGAGCATCTCCAGAGAGTCACCATAGGTTTCAGCCAAACACTACAGACATCGTCTATGGACAAAGACAGGACCTTATAAATTCATAAAACAACTTTACAGAAATAATTTGTAAAAGTGATTTTATAAATATGAATAAAATTTATAAATATTATGTCCTTTAGAATGTATACCTTAAGAATTACTGGAATAGAAGAAAAAAGCATTACTACCATTTAGAGAAAATGATAGCTTTCCGGTGTTGCAGCAGATTCTCTAGCTTTCCAAACCTCTTATTACCATAATTTTACCTTATAATTTAGCCCATCCTCCTCCCGGTGATATCTCAGAATCCAAGAAATTCAAATGGAACCAAGAGTTTATTTATGGATAGGGTTTCCCAAACCTTTCTTTAATGACAGTAGCACTTGCATCCCACAAGTATTTGGTTCCTGGGGAGAGAGGGTAATAAATAAAGCCTTTAGCATTTCCCTAAGCAATAAGTTATTGTTTTTCAGTTACTGGTATTGTTGTATCACAGTAGTGACAAACATTTAAGTGACAAATATTAAATGTGTATTTTGGTGGCTATTGGCAGCCGTCCAGAACAATCTGTAGTTTCTTACTCTTCTGGGTCTCCTGTAGGCTGCTGAAAGGCTCTGTGATGGGGACATGTAAATCTATTGAGCTTCAAAGCCAGCTAACAAAACAGAGGTAACACTAGAGAAAGCATGTCTTGATGTCTGTTTAACAGTTTTTTTTATTCTGTTATAATCCTACGTGTTATACAATAAATGTTACAGTGCGTATTATAAAATGAGTAAACTCAGTTTTAACAGAACATGTTCTGTCACGCTGCTACTAGGTCTTTCTAAGAAATGGATTTAGTTGAGATGTCGGGGTGAAACAATTTCACAAGACTTTATTTAGAAAAGATCCTCTTTAGCTTTTTTCCTGTGTCTGAGTGTGTTGGATATGTCTTTGCATTTACTACTGTGCAACCGCATAAAACCTCTCTGGTTATAGGTTTGGCTTGCTTAGTTAGGTGTTCTCGCTTGTGGATATGTTTCTAGAACAAATACACCTCATCTCAACAAAGAAATGGGAAACTACGTGATTATTCTGTGCGTATGGAGCAGTTTCAGAGAGTCCCTAAGAAGGAAAAGGGTAACAGGGGGAAATGGATATGGAAAAATTATCTATGAAAAATTGCTGCATTTTTCCCTGGGATACTGTGCATGCTGCAAAGCACAAAAGATACTCTATTTTCCTACCTAAAAATGTTATTATCCAGTCAGTCCTGTTCTAAGACCACATGTCCAAAGAAAAGGAAGAAGAGTTGAGAAGAAAAGCAAGAAAAAATTGTAACTCAATCATAAAGCTAGAGATAGTGCCGAGGAAGAGGGGAAAATAATCTTTATGTCACGTTTTCATTCTGAGAGCTCATTGTTGGCACTGCACCTGTTTTTTTATCCTCTAGATCATCTCCTTCAATTAACTGAACTCAGAAATGGGCATACAGACGCAACCTGCGCACACCCTGCTTCCCCCAAAACAACTTATATTTTAGGGCCCGAGAAAGTTTTATATTGGCAGCAGGGTAGGAAAGGAGACCTCTCGTACTACAAGCTTGAGACCTGGATCTAGAAAAATAAAAAAACAAAGCAGACATGCCGAGGCCTTGAGCTTAGCAGTTGTTTTCCCAAATGACTGCTGTCTCAGCCCATGAAAAATGTAGTGTCAACCATAATATCAGAAACTGTATCATGAAAACCTCTACTAGACTCCTATAGATCTTCATCTAAAATAGTTGTACTATTTCTGTTGTTATTCCAGCCAGTCTATAATGACTTTTTCAAGCACTGCAAGTAGATATATAGTGGAAAGGGCACTTATTCAGACTCCTGGAAGATGGATTATCTTGAATAATAGTTGTGAGCATGTTGGGAAGGACAGCAACCTCACTGGTAGCTGTGGTTTGCCAGAGCGCATCCTTTCCAACAGAGCTGTGTCTATACAGGGGTGAACTCACTGAGCTCCATTAATACCTTAGCACTCAAGGATACTTTGCAGCTACAGTGATGTCTGAATCCAATAGTTGCTAATAACTGTGTCTGCAAATCAAAAAAGGAAGAACACACCATTTGGTTTTGTCCTTTTCCACTTTTTTTCACCAGCCCTTGATTTTTGAACCCAAACTTCTCATATACACTGCAAACTGAACCTCTTAAGAAGTTCACTTGTGACTGAAGTCTTTAACTTAGCTTCATGTAGCTAGCTATAGTAATACAGTTATGTCTTTTGTGTCCAAAAGCCTATCAATCAACTGTTATTAAAGAGTGCAAAGGAATGTGATTTTTTTTTTATTTAAAGAAACAAATTGTAAATATTTATGCTTAGGGAACAGTTGTGAATCGCAAGGAGCTAAGATTCTGAAAAAAGATTAATATTTTTGGCTAGAAATCTGAACTTGAGTTGTCACTTTTAGACTTGCAATTAGTTATGTAGCTTCAAATGCAATTTCACTGTAGGGAATGCTTCTTTCTGCCATTTTTCCACTGCCTGGACACAAGCTTTTCTCTGAAGGCAGGGTATTTTAAAAAGTCTTAATACAGTGCTTATTGATTTGAAACAATAATAAAATCCTGCTGCTAAATCTGTCCCTTCTGGCACCATTTCACTGCATTTTTGAAACATAAAATACCAGAATAATGTGTTGATAACTAAAATCTACAAAATCTGTTTGATGTTATAAAAAGACAAATATTGTTGATGATCAAATATGTTACCTATTATGTCAGATAATGATAAAGATAAGAAATTGCAAATGATGTTGAAAAATTTGTTCAGAAAAGTGAGAAGTATAAAGTACTTATGTTAGAGCTGTTTTCTTGGGTTTTGTTTGTTTGTGCCACCAAGG